TACCCTCTTCAAAAACAATGTCTTACTCAAGTAAAAGCCACTAGGTAGTATCGAAATCAGCACTCAAAAAAACTACTCACAAATTCACAATCTCCTGTGTCCTTCTCAATGTTTGTTGAATCAGATCAGATCAGCCAGTTCAACTGATAGAATTAATGTAATAACCCTCACCACTGCTTACCATTAAACATTGATTACCGTTAAACTGAACTGATTGTGACTGATAATTGGACTGATTAAAACTACTGAACTGACTGACCGAAATTGAAACTGAATTGGATGAATACATCTGTTTGAATTGCATTTTTATCTGTTGATTGATTATTTGATCTGTTTGTGTTTTGTGTTTAAACTGCTAATTGAAGGCCTTATCGGCGGCCGAATCCAAAATTGATTGATGTTTTATGATCGTCATGATTAATGTGATTTTTGGTATATTTATCTAAAAACTGTTAGGTATGATTAAATTAGATTAAACATTGATAAATTGCAATAGTTGCCGTAATTACCATTTTGCCACACTTAGTGGGCCACTACCTCACACACTTAGAGACTTGTATATGCTTGATCAAACCATTTCCTCAGCCCATTCCCTTTGTTCTTGCCGACCAAGAGAGGAGATAGAAGAGAATTGAGCTCATTTTGTTGAATTGCTTGGAATTGAAGTGTAAATTGTCAAATTAGACTCCTAAACCTTGAATACAAGACTAAGGTAGGAAACTCATCTTCTTCTTGTGGTTATTGAGCTAGTTCTTGCATGATTCATACTTCATTGTAGAACTAAGTCATGATTTGGTTCAAGAATGTGGAATTATAGCTTCATTTCATGCATGCATGTTTGAATTGTAGATGTTTGAGTTGTTTTCATGGCAAAAGGTTACATGCATGTTCATAATTATGTTTAAGTCCATGATTTCACCATGTTTTGAAAAGAATTGGCTCCTTAGAGCATCAAATTGGAGCTTCAAAATGATTTGAATTCGTGCATGTTTGCGTGTTCATATTGTTCATGAAATTGGTTTAAATTGAGTTTGAATTAAACACCCTTGGGCTTTGATTTCTTAAAATTGAGCTTTGAAACGTGTTATTCTATGTGTTTATAAATGTTTTCCAGAAAATGGGCCCAAGAGGATCGGTTTTGATGCCTTTGAACTTGGTTTTGAGCTTGGAGGTGCAATCTGGAATTTCCAGATTCTGCACTTCCGCTCGAGCGGGGGAATCGCCGCTCGAGCGTGGAATCCGAGCATCCAGTATTTCTGCACTGTTTTCAGTCCGCTCGAGCAGAGAACTAGGCGCTCGAGCGAAGTCATGTCTCAAGCTCGAGCGGGCGTTGAGCGGAGATTTCACCCATCCAGTACTTTTACAGTACGCTCGAGCGGGAAAGTTTACGCTCGAGCGTGTACCTTTGTTGCATGACCGCTCGAGCGGGGAAACTTGTGCTCGAGCGGGACTCTGTTTTCTGAAAATGCTTTTTAAATGTGCATCTTTGCATCCTCATCCCATTCTAGGCATTCTTAGGCCTAGTTTAAGGCATCTTATTGAGGATATAGATGTAGAACACACCGAGGCATTAGGGATCAAGTTGTTATCTTTTCCAACTGTGTAGCTTAGTGTGTGTTCAACCTGTGAACTGTGTAGGGTTGACGACTAGGGAGGCACGCTCTAGCATACTGTAGCCCAAACTCTGTGAGTAACGATTGTGTAAAGATATGTTCACAAATGATTATCTTCTGAACAACTGAACTGTACTGTTTTCTGAACTGATTACTGTTAATTGAATGAATGTATGTCCTCTATTCTGAACTGTATTGTGGCATCCTTAGCAACTACTGTTACTAACTGTTACTGTTACAGAAATCTCTGTCGGTTCCCTTGTGGAACCACTACTGTTACTGACTGATGGCCATCATTACTGCTCGGTCTTTTAAGACCTACTGTTTACTGTACTGTTATGCTAATGGATGTACCACATATGACTGTACTGACTGAACAACTGAAATACTGTTTAAATGAATTATTTTCATACTGTAAGGACATTCATTCTTAACCTCTTTACGCATTATGTTATTCACTGGGCTTTAACTCACTGTTTATATATATATGTAGGTGCTCAGCCACCAGATCGGAGCTAGGAGCGTGGGTTAGACTCCAGTTTTGTCAAGCCAGCCTTTGTGCCTCACTGCGAAGTTCCGAGTTGCCATGCTATGGCTTTGGGGTGTCTTGTTTTTCCCCCTTCTGTACCGTCTACTGTTCTGTATAGACTGAATGTTTACTGTACTGTTATCAAGGGATTAGGTCCCTGTACTGTGTGACTGTAAATTTTGTATAGACTGTATTGTTTGTATATGTGGTTTGTATATGTGAATGCATGAAAAATCTTTTTGGCATACAGACTGACACAGCTCAATGGACATTATTCATTTACTGTATTGGCTTCCGCCAGGCCCTGTACTCTGTTTTACTGTACTACTGTTCTGCAGGCCTTTGGTAATCTCGGATTACTGGCCGGTTACGGTGCTAAACCCATAGGGCCGGGTTTGGGTCGTGACAATTAATGACGGGACCTAGTTTCTGTCCGAATGACTTCTCAAAATCGGACTATGCCAAAAACCAGTCTCTTTTGAGAGAACTGAAAAAACTAGTTGTTCAACAGGAAAAACCGGTGAATCGGTCCTGGTTTTGTTGAAACCTACTAGTTGAGATTTCTAATTTTTTTTATTTTTCTTCTTTTCTTTTCTTTCTTTCTTATATATATATATATATATAATGGGGAGTCTCATTAGAAGTTTGAGAAGTTTATGAAAGTCTATTCTTATTTATAGGAAGAGATTTTTCAATGAGATCCTAAAAATTTGACGTAATAAGGGTGAATATCGTCTGAATTGATTTGATGTGAAATAAAACTAGGATCAATCCGTTGTCAACGGTTTCATAAAAATTAAAACTAATCCAATCCATTTAAAATCGTGAAATCAATCTGAACCAAACTATTTAATCACGATTCGCTTAATTTTGGAACCATAGATTCACATAATCTATTAATAATGAAAAATCATATAACATTTTTTTTTCAACATTAATTTACGTATAATTTTTCAAAACATAAACATCCATATTGTTCCACTATTAATTTAAACAAATATAATATCCAATTCCACAGCAACAACGGCAGCAGTCATCACCAAATTCCAAAAAAAAAAAAAAACTAAAACAAGTTCCACATTGCACCATTACAAAACTAAAATTAAAAAACAACATAACAATAGCAACAAAAGAGCTGCTGCACACACAGGATAGAAAAGATAATTAAATGTTATGAACTTAGGGTTTTGGTTTTATATATGAAAGGTAGGATGGTATGTATTAAGAGTGTATCGTATGAATATAGACTAAGTTACATACGGTTCGGATCGATTCCAATTTGGAACCGTAAAGTGAAATCTAAAACTAATCCGCAAAAAACAGTTCCTCAATTTTCTAATCCAAAATCGGACTAAGGATTCAAAAATTCAATCCAAACCTACTGGATTGAATTGGACCGGTTTGGTTTGCAAATTTTACGAATTCTTTTGTCAGTCCTACCATGTAAAATTCTTTTCTCAGTCCTACCATGTGAGATTCCATCAAATTATTTGAATCATACTGATTGGAAGGAGAGTTAAAAATTTAATTTCCCTCCAAAATTAAATCTAAAATTCAATCAATTTGTTTGGAGTGTTAAAATTTTTTAATTTCTTTAAAACTAATAACTTTTTTTTAGTAAATACTATGCAATAATTTTTATTTTTATTTTACTACTTATATATATTTTATTTATTTATAATATATAATTATATTTTTTAATTATATATTATTAATTATGGCATCAAGATTCGACCGTTTCAACACGATAATTAAATCAATAACTCGTCCATCCGATCCTTTTTTCAATTCGCTCACTAGTCCTATTTTCAAAACATCCATTCTCACTGTCGTTTGTCACTATTTTATCAATAATGCTAGCCATTACAAAAATAAATAAATAAATAAATAAATCACGAAAAACCTCCACAAATTTTTTATCCTAAGATTAATTTATAATATTTTGTTATATGTTATATGAATTTATCTACAATTTGATGGCAATTCGACCAAGAATGTAGCTATAGAATAGCCCAATCTGGATTTCCTTCACTTTTTGAGATCCAAAAGGTAGGGAAGGACTAATCAGCAATAAAAGCACACGAAGCGAGAAATGCAACCCACTGTGATACACTCTAAAAAAGCTTAGGAAGGAGAATATAGAAATCTTTTGGCAACAAATTAAAAAAATCAATTTTTTGACTTTCTAAATTTTTTTAGCCAAGAGTCTCCAAAAAATCAAAAATCAACTTTTTACCAACTTTCCAAAACACTACATAATCACTTTTGAATTAATCTTACAAAAAATTTTATGATGTGCAACATTACTTCTATTTTATATCACCCCAAAATATATTCATAATGGATTCCATATTTAGAAATAATCATTAAGAGAATAACAACAATAAAAATAACATCTTACCATGTATAAACAAAACAGCGGAAAGAATAAACAATATTAAGTTATAAAATAAGCAAGGACATTGGATGTAACCCAATGGTCTAGTAGCTACCCCTTAGGTCATGTTTGATTCAAAAGACTAATAGTGAAGTATTAATAATCCTATTAAATTAGTGTAGGATTCACTATCCAATTGGATTAATATCCATTGGATTAATAATCCCACCACCAACTTTTTAAAAGTACAATAATTGTACTACCAAAAAAAGTTGGATTCCCCAAAAGGGACCATTATTTTGGGACGGAGGGAGTATTAAGTTATAATATAAGCAAGGACATTGGATGTGACCCAATGATCTAGTAGCTACCCCTTAGAGTGTAGTGAGAGATCAGAAGTTCGAGTTGATGGAGCAACGACGGCCCTTCAGTTGTAATCTAATTATACTAACGTACTAACGCTATTGAACAACAACAAACAAACAAACAAAAGGGTTATAAATTAAGCACATCTATAAAAACCAGAAATTACAACTATAAAGTCACTTTCAAATGGGGGGATTGGCGTCTCAAATTTTACCCCCCCCCAAGCAAGCATCAAACGTACCAAATACTTCAGAATTGCTATCCAAAAAAACAAAAACATGCAGACACCACAAGTAACAATAGCCAACTACTCGTAATAATACAACACAAAGGCACACTGTCAATGCCATATAAAAAAATCAATGATTTGATTCAGTTGCAAGCAATGCTCCGTGTGCTGGCCTTTTCATTTGTTTCCATACGAAAATTTGTACCGTTGGCTCAACTTACCTGTGAAAAAAATAAAAAATTAAACTACTTAAAATCCTGAGACATTACAACTCAGCAAATGACAAAAAACAGCCTACATGTCTAGTTTTCCTGAACGAAGGTAGCATACATTTTTATTGGTCGAACAACTTAATTGGCTTAAAATTCCACGGCTCATACGACACGACCCCTTCTATGTGAATGCAGAACATAAAATAATGTAATGCATTCTTTATAATAAGAAAACAGCATTTTCTGTACTTTCTCAAATGGACATAACCACATTGTGGCCCGAGGGGGGTAATAACGCCTCACCTTTTCAAGAAACCATATATATATAATACAAAGCAAAAAGAGTCAAATATTTGCCAGATAAAAAAGGATTGAAGGGGTGAACAGCAGTAGCAACCCCCCTTGGGTGTAACCATAGTAGCCGGGTAATTCTATTTACACACCACACAACTCTCAATACACACCACAAAGATTTTTAATACTTTGATTTCTTCTCACTTCACACCATCAATTTTTGAAAAATCCTAAATTACCCTTTATATTCTTCAACTCTCTATCCAAAATCCTAACCTTATCGCCTACCGCCAATCCGTCGCTGTTGCCTACTCAAAGAGATGAAAAGCAGAGAATCAATTGTCCATCTACGATAGAATAACAGAGAATTGATTTAATGATTTGAGATGAAGAAGAAGAAGAAGAAGATGGATTTGTTAAAGATTAGTCAGATCGAGAAAAATGGGAAAAGAACCTGAATCGACAAAGTTGGACTAATCTTGATAGATTTTTTGGTGTTCTCTCCGCAACCCACCTGCGATCTCTCTTGCGCTTTCTCTCACCCACTTGTTATTTCTTGCACTCTCTCTTTCTTAATTGTGATTGTGAGATCCCGATCTACTCTCTTCGTCAGTTTACGACAGTGCTAAGGAACAACTCCCAAAGGGGTGGGGAGAATGAAAGGAGTGGAAGAAGGACAGTGCTGGGGAGAGAAGATGGTTGGTAGAAGTGACTAGGAGGGGTGGGGAGGTGCTATGAGGTTGTAGATGGCGACGCTGACGCCAGCACCAAATTTGCAGAGAGAAGAAAGATGTGTAGAGTTTAGAAATATGTCCAAAATGGTAATTTAATAAAAGGATACAAGTGTAATAAAAAAATTAGTATGAAAATCGTGTGTACTGAGAGATTTGGTGGTGTGTAAATAGAATCACCCATAGTAGCCCCTCTACCCACTGGGGTGCCGAATAGGAAATGACTAAATGGGCCCAGCACTGCAGGAATACTGCACATATCCACAAGTGCTCCCTCCAGACAGGCTATGATACTAGCCCCCAGAGGGCATAGTGGCAAGTAGACAGTGGCCCAAGACTAGCAGGCATGAGTCTCTCATCCCCAAGCATCACCCTAGAGACTTGAACTCATGTCCTCCTCGTCAGCAAATCATAGGCTATTCCCATTTTGCTCTATTACCAACTCCATAGCTTATGTTCTTATTTTGATTTATTACCAAAGTAGAGCTCATATGGGTTAATCCATAGTTTTTACATTTTGTTTTAAGTCATTTGTTATGTTTGGAACTTAAGGAGAAATTGAGAATATATTGAGTGGATTATTTGATGAATGGATCTAAAATCTTTCTACATGTAGTTTGAGAAGTTTGGATTAGTATTCTCAATTTTATGTGAAAAGTAGATTTTGATAGATTGTATGAACTACAAGTTTCATTGACGACAACTTGTGGAATGCCCCATTGAATAAATATTTTTAAAACACCACTGTTTGCCCCCCCGCCTCCAGGTAAAATTGTGGTTCAACCTATGGAAATAGTCTGTAACTAGATATGGAAAGAAAATGTAAGTACATAAAATTCTTTACCTCTCACACCAAAATTGTTTAAGAACTAACACTAGGCAGAAAGATCAGTAACTTTTCCCACTGCAATTGTTTTCCCTGCAAAACATGATAATCCTTGTAAATTCGTAGTGGTTAAAGAAACAAATAAAAAACCAAAAAGCCTACAAACTAAAAATGGAGGTTATCAATAAGACAAGGGACATGTCAGTTTGTCACCTTCAGTACGAAGAGTGAACCTTCCAAGTTGTGGAAAGTCAGAGAACTTCTCAATGCATATCACATTATTCACCTGGAAAAAAGCATTTAAAGCAGGAGAAAAATTCAGAGAGTAGAACAGAAGAATCACCGAGTACAAGGTTTTGGAATTCCATAATCACTTTTTGTCAAGAATGAAAAATAAAAGCAGCAGGGAGGAAGGTGGGAATAACAGCTACAAGTTTAATATGGAGATTCCTCATTTCTCAGAGATCAAATGATGAAAATGACCTGGATGCGACATACAACGATGGCACCATTCTTCACAAAGAGAACTTTCTTTCTCATAGGCTTTTTTGTCTTAAGATCAATCTGTTGCATCAGTTCAACAATCTCACATTCCTCCACAACAGCATGAATGTGCAACACAGCCTTGTAACCAGCAGTAAAAATTGCCTGAAACAGCAGCAATGTCACTTGGAATTAAATGAAAGGGAAAAAAACAAGTTTGCCTTCAAGAAGTGACAGTTATGGAGGGGGAGAGGGGAAAAAATGACAGGACTTTGTGAACAAAAGAAAAAAATAATATTCACATACATTATCCAGCAACTCAAGGATCTGTAACTGGGCAACAAACTCAGATACTACGGCTATTGGCCTTGCTGCATGGAATAAAATGTATTAAAATCTTGATTAGCATCAGACAATCATTCAAGAACAAACAACACAAACAAGGATAGAGGTGGAACCAAAAATTAAAATAAAACACAAGATATTTACAAGTTACATTCACTATCTTAAATTTTTCATGTCCAAATTTAAAATAAAATAAAAATTATTGTCATATCCCCGCCATGTCCATATCCTAATTTTTTGATAATTGTTGTATTGTGTCTGTCTCTGTGGCTTCGTAGGGTATGTTAAAGCTAGTCTCATCCCACTTGACTAACAAGTGGGTGGTAGCAAGTAATTCAACTAGCGCAATATCAACTAGGCTAGTTTCATCCCACTTGACTAACAAGTGTGACTCTAAATCTCACCTTTCATACATAAGCATCAATGTTCTTTCCGCCATCATTCAACAGGATAGACTAGTAATACATGATTGTTCTAAATTGCATACAACATTCACATACATTATACAACCAACACAATCAAATCCATCAATCATACCAAGTAAAAAGGTTTGATATTCCCAACAAACCAATTTGTTTAAATAAACTTACCAACACCGCACAAGACAAAACCACATACAATATCCTCTTCTTCAATCCCAGACAATCTAACCCTCAGGTTCTCACCAGGTCCAGCACGCCTAACTTTATCTTCATCACAGTATACAGCAAGAACTTTCACTTGAGCCTGCAGGATGAATACGCGAGGTCCTCATATCTCAACAAAATTGATAAATTCATACAAAATAAATAAAACATGGGGGGGGGTTGGGTGGGTTGAATGGCAAGAAGGAAGCACCATATTTGGCATGACCAACAAGTTATCACCCTCGCGCACACTGCCAGATTCTACTTTGCCCATGACAACGGTGCCCATATCCTTAAATTTGTCAATAATAGGCAATCTACAATGCCAAAAAAAATTGACAATTACATAAATAGTTTAAACAATAAAGTCAAAATTATTGTTACAACAAAATAGAAAATCCAAAAACACCAGTTCCATTCCTAGTTTTGAAAATGAGGAGTTAGGACCAACATTAAAGATCTAGAATCTACACATACAATGCAAGATCAACCAAAAGGCTCTGTATAATAAAAACTTCAACAATACTCCCTCCACTGTGCCAGAAGACAATAAAAAAAATACACTAATAAATTTCAAACCAAGTTCAAAAATGGTTTTTAGACTACCATTTGATATGCTAAGATAAAGAACAATACAACCTTAGAAAATTCAAGGCATTCTAGGTAGGCTAAAGGATCCTATCTAAGAAGCACTGATTAGGATTCAGGATAACTCAATGAAGCGCTAATAATAACTACCAAGCATAACTCAATGAAACATGAAACAATAAAAAATTAACGAGTGACATAATTGAACCAGCACGCCAAGAGAGGAGTTAAATATTAGTACAAAGCATGAACATAGGAAGCTTCTATCGCACCTAAATGGGCCTTTAGGATCACGTTGGGGAATTTCAACAGCATCAAGAGCTTCAAAAAGACATTGACCATTCCACCATGGACAAATACTTTTGTCCACTCTTGTTTTCATATTTGCACCAGCAAGTCCAGATATAGGCAGAAACTGAACATCTGAAAGTTGAAATACGCCAAATTAGAATGAATGTAAATAAAATCCTGTATCCTGATATTAGCTAGCGTGGGACATGTGTTAAGCGTTCATGTGCAGCACAACTATGCTTCATTTATAGAAGTGACCATGCTGATGCTATATGTTAGACAAGCATAGAGTCAAAGACAAAGATCATGAATCTAATCAACACAAAGAACAAATATCAAATTAGTTTTTAAGAAGAAAAAAAAATTAAGTGAAATAGCATGAAAAGAAAAAAGCAGCTCCTGGACAATTGCATGAGCTATCCAACACTACCATTGAAAATTAATAGTTCTTGTTAACAACACTTTCATTTAACATGATGAATTACCAACTCAAAAGCAGCAATGTGTGCAAGACAGCATGCTTTCAGATCAAGGCAGATACTCTTTTTAATATCTAGATAGCCATATTAAAGAAGCAAACTTGCAAAAAAAAAGACAACCACATAGCAGCATGAGTGTCATTCACCTTTCTTCACGTTGTAACCCGAAGATCTTAGAAATGGTATCATCTTCGATTCAATTTCATCATACCTGTTAAAGAACACCAGTATTAAATGAAAAGAAATTGCAAAAAAAACTAGAGTCGTCTTACACAAATACATTGAAATCTCACAAAGCACCTCTCTTTTGACCAGTTCACGGTAGGATCATCCATCTTGTTTACAACAACAAGCAACTTAGAGACACCTAAAGTTTTAGCAAGTTGTACATGTTCACGGGTCTGTCCACCTCTTTCATATCCAGTTTCAAACTCGCCTTTCCGAGCAGATATTACCTGAGAGAAAGAAATTTTTAAGAAACCAAACAAAAGATTCATCCAACTAGCAAGCATGATTGAAAAACTTTTGTACAACTTACTAGTACACCTATGTCCGCTTGAGATGCCCCACTGATCATATTCGGCACATAACTTTTATGTCCCTGAAAAATCAACACCACAACTGAAAATTGTAAGGGCATCATTGAAAAAAAAACTTGAGCCAAAAACAAAATGGAATAATTTGTTCTTTGTTTTGCACTAATAAAACATGTTAAGTTCATAACACCACTGAGAATATATTTGGACCAACATCAAATACCAATTAAATATAAAGTTGGGCTTATTTGGATCTTAGCTCTTTTAAGATTGTACATATTGACCTTCAGGCCCATAAGCAATACCAGACAGGCAGGCCTTCACCCATATATCTGGTGCACACTAGATGAAGCCTGCAAGAAATCTCAGGAAAAGGGAGAGCAGAGCACAGGCTTGCTCTTTTTTTCCCTTATTGATAGATATACAAGTAGGTGTTTGTTTTGTATGGGCTTCTTTATGGGTTTCCACCAATTCTAGATGGATCTTTGGATTGATTTAACCCCACCCTAACTTCAACTCGTCTACCAAGTTTACTTGGCTCCCAAGTAACATCAACTTGACACTTGAATTCTCACACAAGTGAAGTATTAGCATTGTTTTGACCTGAAGTATGAGATCTTAGACCTCAAATATCGAATATCAAACCAAAAACAGCCTTATATCCCTATTAGGTGGAGTTAGCTACATGAAAAAAAATTCACCATTTTGCTCTATCATGCTATGTGCTATGTCAAATTCAATTGGGTGAGAAAGGACCATCTGCCTTGGTAACCAAATTTTACAGATTATAAAATAAAATACTGGTGCAGACCCAGCTCAAATTCTAGAATCGTATAAAAGAGGAAACCCAACTAGCTAATGGAATTCATACACCAAGTGAATACATCCAAAACACCACCCTTAACTCATAAAACTGACCAAACAAATCCACATTTCCAAATGATATATGGTCTATCCTTTTTTTTTCCTTGAACTATAAAAAGAAAAAAAAACAAATAAATATGTATGCATATAACATGGCAGAGGGCGGCCTACTGGAGCATCCAGAATTGTAAATCTTGAAGTTTCTGTCTCAAAACAAAATGTGCTCTTCCGACTTCAACTGTTTTACCCTGAAGTAAGATTGCATATTAAAACATGGACAAATAAGCAAGCTTTAATTCTAAAGCATAAATGAATGGAAAGAATGCATACCATTTGAACTGATTAAATATAAGGCCATAAATGATATCACAGCAAACTAGACACATGAAAAATACCTTAACTCTCTCCTCTTCATTAGTGTCCATAATATATGCCATATACCTAGGACATAACAAATAAACATGATCAAAAGGCACAATTAAATAAGGGACCATCCATGTCATAATCATTAGATATTCAAATGCTAGAAACAACATATTCTGAATAATGATCATCATCCGTCTAGAAAAATACAATAAAGCCAATTAAAAAATAAGATGAAAGTTGTGATATCCAATGTTGATGAAAATTCTCAAACAAGATTAAGGTCTATACTCTATAAAAGGAGCCCGTAATTTATTCATCATTCCGAACAAATAGGATTTTGGAGTTAGCTAACTAAATCTCACATACTTACTTGGGGAAGGTAACAAATAAAAAAATGGGAATAAACATTATGGAGTAGAACTAGACAAAACCCCTTATGCATAACAACAAATGTTAAAAGAGCCATGAATGATATGTATAATTCTAAAATTATTAAAAATTATAGGGATGGCTATAGAAGGACTTGACATAAACCAAGGAAAACGAGGCAAATAACAAGACAATGTGGGCTGCAATGGATCCTCACTGAAATCAATGGAGCAGACACTTTTTGTGCTAAACATTGAGGAAATTATGGATTGCACTGAAAACAAGGGGATTTATATTATGAAAGTGCTGAAGGTCACTAGAAACATTGACTGAGAGTGACTACGAGGAATAAATTGAAATCCTATTATAATGCTCTAAAATATGATATTCAATGAAAAAAACATATATTGATAACTATTCTCTGGGATTTGTTCCTTATTTGGGCTTCCAACTGCTGTAAAAGTAGTAGCTTTGGCTCATCCACATTATAGTCTCCTAATTAGAAAGCAGTGCAACTCAGAAAAAAGCACATATATAGTACTAATGCAATATGTCAGGCAACAAACAAGCTTTTTATGGACAATTCAAGATTCCAATATGGGCAATTTGGCATCCAATCCACATCTGATATCTTGAATTTAAGTTTTGCAGCTGTATTAAAAATGAATATTTGGTGAAAAGCAAAAAATATCAACTAACATCAGAAACATATACAACATAATCAGGAAACGCAAGGGCCAAGGACTTGAGAAGATAAAAAGAGTTAAAAGACTTGAGAAGATAAAAAGGTTAGGACTGTCCCATTCAAAGACTAGGACAATTTCAAAAATTTCATGGAAAGTAAAATATAATATTTTTTCCATCACAAGGGATTTCTAGTTTTCTGGTCATGAATGATTGTTAAGAAAACTGGGAGAACAAGCCCAAATTAGGAATCCATTTCATAATTATAAGACCATCGAATATTTTTATTTTTCAGTAATCAATATAATTATTACTTAAAAACAACCACCCAAATGCTTAGGGCAAGCTCCATTACACACACAAAATAACTAACCTAACATCTGTCAGTGGAGTGGATGGAGTGCGACTAAGTTACTATATGTGCAGCTACCAAGTTGCAAAACTCTTTTGAGAGAGAGAGAGAGAGAGAGAGAGTGTGTTTTTCAGTCATCACATGTTCTGCCACAATAGATGTACTAAAATAAAACACAGGTAACAAGCTTTAATTGAAAAGCAAAATAAGGTCTCACCAACTTTGTCGACTTTTATCCTTTGCTTCTTTCTCATATTTTTGGATTGTGCGGTCATCCACCTGACCACTAAGGAACAGTATCTGCCCTCCAGTGGTGGACTTCCCTGCATCTGCATCCCACATGTACATATTTTTGGTAAGTAATAAACTAGTTAAGCAAAAAGGATCAACATACCACACATTCAGATTTAGGCACTGAAAATCAACTAGTGCTAATGAGCCAAACAAAATTCCATTAGTCCATAATTTCTCTTGGACATGTTTTCTATCAGACTATCATCATCCATCTAAAATACCAGCTGAATATCATATTTGACTAGATAATACCACCAGAGATCAAAATGCAGGAAGAGAATGAAATCAGGAGCAAAGGTTGATTTGAATCTGAGCTCATACATTTACAATCAATAAACAGAAAATGTTTTAAAGCAGATTCAGAAAACATGCATCAAGTGATAGAGAATGAGAAAAAAACTACATCAGTCCAATCATCACTTGCATCAAATTTCTTTCATAAAAAGATCCACCTCAACATAAGAACATTATAAAAATAAAAATAAAAATTACAGTTGGAATAGAAAAATCCATTAGAAAGATTTCAAAATTAAAGTTTATTAGAGTCACTATGGAAATACAATTATTCTTGCATGTTCACAAAAGAGCCATCATGCAATCTTCTGATTTGGTAACTTCCTATTCACACTTGCAAAATTAGTTCTCACCAAATTCTAACCAACTTTAAGAGAACCATGATTTGTATATAATGTTTACTAGTGACAATAGAGTATTAGAAAAGAAAACATGAGATGACTTTAAATAACTTTGACAATAATTTCACATGTCCACTGGCATGTTTGAAGTTTTTTTTTTTACGTGGCTTTAATGACCTTAACAATAATTCACCAAGAGGAAAAAAATACATGCACTTGGAAAAGTCATTTACCAAGTTGCAATAGTATTAGGCATCAATCATGTTTTACCAAAGAGTTTTATTAACAATGTCTGATATGTTTAAGGGAGAACCTAATAATTAAAATAAAAAGACAAATAAGCACCACGAACCAATTATCCAAAAAAAAAAAGCACCAAGGACCAGTTTCCATTTTGTTCCTCACACGGAAACCACCAGAAATTGATCACTTCTAACAAATGCCTTTAAGAGAACAATAATAGTCAGGAAGTTACGTAGGCAAGCCATTCAGTAATAAAGCAATAAAACCTAGGCTCCTATCCACCAAGCCACCCATAAATAATAAAATTTTTGTTCAACAAGACGTCATTAATGGAATGCCACCCAAAAATACACCAAGACGTGCATCAAAAAGCTCTACAAATTCTTAGGATTCGTTGAGAGTAGGTTTACTAACCATCGATATACACTCAAAAAAAAACTTACAAATAAAAAAGACTTACAAATGTAAACAGAACCTCTCTACTATCAAATGATTTACAATTCCTCTACTAACCCTGAATGATCCACATATTGCATAAGGAAATCAAAAACAAAATCTTCTTCTTCTTTCACCTACTCTAGCGATGTGAACTATGAAGAAGTTCAACCACTCCCTCAAAAGAATACCAACCTCATCATTGTTACTTTTTACTTGCTAGCTTTTATGCAATACTGAATGACCTAAGCACGCGCAAAAGATGGAGATGTTTTTCCACACAAGGAAAGCAAAAAATCAGGCAGTAGCTTCACTCCTCACTATTAGAGTTCTAATGCAAATAGAAGAGCAGAAATCAAGATCAGAAATGCCCTTAGTCTGGCAAGCAAAGCTTAGTCAGACGAACAATGGACTCGACTTAGCTCTGTTTGGCGCAGCTCATTTGCAACTCTAGTTGATGCATTTGAAATGTGGTACAGAAAATATCACATATACAGTACAAATTCAGGGAACATTGAATCTTCTGATTTCAATCGCATATTATAAAGCTGCTAGATAATCTTTAAAATGTTATACTATTAACATTTGGAAAATTAAGTAGTACAAAACTTTATTCATAATCTACCAAATATCTGAATCAATAATGACCCAAAAACAAATAAGACTGAACCACATTTGTAACTTTCAAGTAAAATAGCAGCATAAAAAGTATATAAAGGAACTGGAAGTACAAATTTAATTTATTGAAATACCAACCACCACATCAAGACAAACAGAAACCTCTGATAAATTTCCTTCCATTTTAAATCGACTACAAGGCACTGTTAAAAAAATTTAGAACCCCATTAACACTTGTTTGAGAAATGATGAAAGATAAAGGTTATTATAAACTTCATATTACAAGCTTGGTTATTTGTGTTCCAACAATATTCAAAAGTGAACTTCTTCTACGAGCTCATGATCTACTTTCAATATGCCTATGACCAAAATACATGTTGCATATCTAGTAAACTCAATACAAGCTCACAGGTAAATTGTGTCTACATCAGGCAAATATACAAATATACATATATGAAGCTAAAACATTAAGGTGTATGGTTTCAGTTCCCACCTCCATATTGGTTAAATGGAAACAGCTACAAACACATGCACGCGAGCACAAACACAGGTCAAAAAAAAGTGCACAAAAACCCAAAATTAAAATTTTGACCGAACACATGGATTCTAAAATTTTGTGCTTGTTATGGAGATATTGTCTAGGATTCTTGCTGAAAAGGCTTCCCTCCCCGAGTTTAAATATCATTGGAGATGTAAGAAAAACAGGATTGTTAATCTTTGTTTTGCTGACAACTTGATGATCTTTTGTAAGGGGCCTGTTCCTACTGTTGTGGCTATTAAAGAGGGTTTACAAGAATTTCAGGCATTGTCTGGTCTCTCTACTAGCCCTAACAAAAGACATGTCTTTTTCTTTGGATGTGAGAAGAAACTGAGAGATGAGATTCTTGATGTGACTAAATTTGCTGAAGGCCAGCTTCCTGTTAGATATTTAGGGGTTCCCCTTATCTCTACTAAACTCAAAGCGGCTGATTGTTAACAGCTTGTGGAGAGAATCACTAAGAGAATCAAGAGTTGGACTAACAAATGCTTGTCCTATGCTGGTAGAGCCCAGTTGATCCAGTCCATCCTTTTTTCCATGCAAGTGTATTGGTCCTCTCTCTTTATCCTTCCCAAAAAGATTATTACGGATATTGAGAGTTTATTTCGTTCTTTTTCTGGACTGGTAGTGATCTCAAGAAGCATGGGGCTAAAATTCCTCGGGATAGAATTTGTGCTCCTAAAAATGAAGGGGGTCTGGGTTTTAAATCGGTGGAAGTGTGGAACAAAGCGGCTGTGGCCAAACACATTTGGTTTTTATTCTCCGGGGGTGAGCAATCGATGTGGTGTCAATGGGTTAAATCCTACCTTCTCAAAGGAAAAAGTTTTTGGAAGGTGACGGCTCCCTCTGACCCCTCCTGCGTTTGGGGTAAGATTTTGGCACTTAGACCCATTATTTATCCCCTAATCAAGCATGCTATTGGGGATGGTTTGAACACTTTCCTGTGATATGATAATTGGCACCCCCTTGGCTCTTTGAGAGATAAGTTTGGGGAGAGAATAATGTATGACACTAATCTCAATTGTGAGTCCAAAGTTAAGGAGATTGTCTGTGACCAGGCTTGGAAGTGGCCCATTGCCAATACTTGGGAGGTTAGGGATCTTATTGATAATACCCCTGATACCTTACAGCCTGGCCATGGACCTGATAGGGTTATTTGGACCCCTGATAAGCATGGTTCTTTCTCTATCAATTCCACTTGGAATATTTGAAGGAAAGCTTTTACCACTGTTCCTTGGGCTGCTTTGATCTGGGGTCCTTGTAATATCCCTAAGACTAGCTTTGTGACTTGGATGGTTGTCCAAGGTAGACTCACAACTAGCGACAGAATTGTGTTGTTTGGCATTGATTAACCTTTTGTCTGTGTTTTTTGTAATTGGGATTGTAAGGATCATTGTCACTTATTTTTCCAATGCCCATTCTCTGATCTAAAAGAGTGTGGATTGGCCTGCAGTCTAAGATTGTTCTTTCTTGGCCCAATCTGCCTTGGCCTGATCTGGTACCTTTCCTGTCTCAACAGATCAAAGGTAAGTCTTTGAAGGCCATTATCTCTAGACTTGTGTTTACTTGTACTGTCTATTACTTGTGGTTAGCTCGGAAAAATAGAATTTTAACCAAGCCTTAATTCCAGAAGAGATGGTTATTAAATTGATTGTGGACATGATTATGTTCCGTATACTTTCTTTTACTAACTTGAAAAGCTGCCCTAGTGACAGATGGTTGTTGAATACCTGGAGTCTCCCCCAATCTATCTTAAATGACTATACAGGTATGGAAGGAGGCACTAGAAGAATGAGGGATAATGGGAGTTCAGTAAATGTGGGTTGAGTGAAAGTGAGCAAGAGTGTGTTCTCTAATGTTTTGTTTCTTGTGTAGCTCAGTGTTTGCCGGAATGAAGATCAAGTATAACCAATGTGGGTTGAGGGATGTAAGCACATCTATAATACCAACCTGTCACTGCCCATATAGTTTATTTCTAACGTACTACATATATAGCCATACTTTATCTATTTTGCAGGTACAAGAGGCTATGAAGGTTTATGTTGCAACCATGCTCTGTGGGTTGAGTGATGGGAGCTTATATATTGTGTGCTTGTCTTTTCTTGCCGAGTGTTGTGAGCTTCTAAATAGAGGGTTGAGTGATGTGAGCATTTATGTTATCTATGTTGGTGATTGTGATTTGGAAAAACTGCATATGGTAATACAACCTTGTCTAATTGAGGTGTTCTTGAGTAATATCTTATACTGGACAGGATTTATTAACATAAAGTGGAAGGAAGCTACAAGTACATATGGCTGCTGGGAGTGCCTAAAGTGTGAAGAAAGTTTTACTCATATTTGTATATATTTGTCTAGTGCCAGTTTATGTCTAGATAGGACCTTTTTTGGCCTGCCCTTGCGGGCTATGCTAGGGATTGCTCCTGTACTGTGTTTTTCTTTGTTTTGGGTGGTTCAACATACAGTCCGTATAAGGTTCTTGAACATATTAAAATCTTTTAATCTGAACAAATAGACTTTTTGTTTCTTTCTTTTTCTTTTTTCTTGTTTGCCATGACGGCTATGAACAGGTGAATATGTAGTCTAGTCTTTTTTGTGGTGGCAGTTTTTTGCTATGTTGGTAGTCCTAAACAGGTGGGCTGTTTTGCTTCGTTTTTTGCTGTGTCTGGCAGTTTTGTATAGGATCTGTTAGGGCCTGGGGCATGCCCCTTGTATTTGTGTATCCTCTTGTCTTTTTAATTTATGACTTATTCACCCAAAAAAAAACATTTGTCAGCATTGCAGAAAGTAGGAACATTGAGAAAGCTAGCACAAACAACATATCATGGAAACAAAAAATGGGAAGAATAAACAAAAGGAAGCAATGCCATCACTCGTGGGGTATATAGTCGCATATGTAAGGTGTGACAATATCAATAGTCAATAGCCAACAAAACATATCCTGAGTAGGCAACATAAATCATAATTATATGACTGACTTTGATGACCAAAAATTTAAGACCAGTTAAAAAAGATCAACCTACCAACATGGCCAATAAATACAACATTCAAATGGCGCTTCTTATTATCTTCAATCTCGTCTTCAGTATCTTCAGCAGCAGAGACATCCTTGGATTTCACTGAAAACCAATAAAAGTTTTAAAAAAAAAACTGGTTGGAGTAGATATACCCAATATCAGCACCTACTACCAAAAAATTTCACATACATACTTCACAACAAAACACAACAAATAAAAGAAGAAGAAAGAAAAAGAACAAAACAGCAAGCAAAAACCCCAATATACACATACAAATATTTATTAATTGGTGTTGCCTTTGCAAGTGCAACGAAGATATGCGGCGGGCATCACGTTTGGTTGGTGGGGAGGCAACATGTGGAAGAAAATGTGGAAGGCTTGATGTTTAGGCTTTTTGTGCTTGATGTGGCTTTCTAAAGAAAGAAGTGTCGACTTTTTTTTTTTACTATTTTGTATAGTTCGATCTCATGGAATGATATGCCTAGCCTCGAAAATATTGTGGATTATTACAAGAACCCCCCCCCCCCCCCAAAAAAAAAAAAAAAAAAAATAACAAACCTTCCATGATGCCTTTTGCCTCCACTGGCACTGGCTGAGTGGTTGCATTGACCTCATCCTTCAAATCTGAAACCAATCACACAAAAGTACTTTTCATCAGTCTCACATGAAATATTCTATGATAATTCACATCACTATGGCAAACATATTACTGCTCAAAAAACGAGTGACCATCATGTTTTATTTCACAACTAGGAAAATAATAAATGCTGGTCCCTTTTCTCTTTTTATTGTTGGGAAAATGTGGATTTATTAGCTAAACTATAGAGGAGTGTTTGAGAAGTCTAAAATATGGGGTGTCCAAGTTGGATCTTTAGTAGCATATGGCTATTAATGCAATAGGCAATCAATAATTTCTCATGACATTATAAACATCTAAACTAGATGACCTCTTCAATCCAGTTATTATAATAACTAACAGACATGATTGTCAACAGCTTTCACACGGAAAACCTATACTAACAAGAAATCAAAAACTCTCCATCTCCCAATTCCCAAAATTGTTCTTAACTTTGAACCAAGTTACCATCTCAACAACCTGACATATTGCATTAATGCTTCTTTGATAAATGACCAACGACCAACCCCAAAAATGCCCGGAGTCCGTAACAACTGACGAAATATTTCACAAGCTTTAACACCAAAATCCCTCCAGTAACATATTTATGTAGTAAAGTGTGCCACTACAAACTTACAAAACCATCTTTTGAAAGAATATATATATATAAAGTCAGTAGACCTTTTAACACCTTCAAAAGGTAAGTGGATAACTCAATTGTTTCATAATTCACCATAAGAGGCCTATATTTCAATGGGTCACCAAAAGGAGTACCAATGTACTCCGTGTAAAACGTGCACTGCCAAATTGGGCATGCATACAACTCTAAAAGTGTACATGTCCATGCTAATTTGTGTACGCAATTGATCCATACTGAAAATAAATCCTACAAATTATTACGTTTTTTTCCTTCTCAAGTCATCCAAAGATGGGGCACCTAAAATGTGGCATACTATTTGAAAATCCCTCACACTCAAAGTTAACTCTAACTATCAGCTACATTATTTCCCTTTTTCCAAGCACTAAATAATGTAGTTCCTACATTAATATTTCTAAAATTTAAATAGCACCACATGCTGAGTTTTCCATCTTTTCCAACATCCAATTCTTGTATTTTCCATTTTCTATACGTTAAATTTCAACAAGTTGCTAAAAGTATATAGGACTTCAACAAAATGCAAGCCAGCTTCATGTTCATAACATCGATAGAACTCACTCAAACCAAATGGAGCACGCGATAAGCCTACCTTCACTGTTGTGGAGAGAATATACAACTTGAAGCAGTGAATGTCTATGTCTACGATAAGAACCATGTTTACCAATAGAAAACAGCATTGGGTTCTTAACGAAGCAAAACACAATTTTATGCCAATCCAACATGCAAAAGCAGAGCATACATCACGAAAGATAGAATAAAATATAAAAGAATAATAAACATGTAAAACAGCACGAAAACAACAATGCCAAAAGGCATCATTCTCTTCAAACAAATAAAAAATTAAAAAAAAAAAGGGAAAGGTTCAATAGCAATCACACACAGATAACAGAATTTTGGTGATTCAGCCAACCTTCTTCCATCTTATCGGGTATTTCAACTTCGTGAGTCGGCTTCACATCATCTGCATTAACCATATTATCTTCTGATAACATTCAACCGAACATTTAAATAACATATTCAAAAATAGCAAATCCATAGTAATAATATTCACCTTGTTTGGTTTAAAACTCTTTTCAGAAAATTGAGGTTTTTCGTTTTCCATATTTTTTTTTTACTTATTTTTTTAAATATTTTACTCAAATCTTTTATTTTTTAGATACACCTAACATAGATATACTTGAAAAGTATAATATTTGTGGAAAAAAACTTTTAAAAAATCACCAACTAAAAAAAATACAAAAATTCAGTACATTTTAGTATTTTGTTGTATTCAATGAATTTTTAAAGAATTTTTGTACAAATTTTATATTTTTTAAGTTTATCAAGATTAAATGAATCTAAAAAGTTAAAAAAATAATGACAATTAAATATTTTTGAAAAAATCTTTAAAAATACAAATTAAAAATTTTGAAAACTGTTTTTTTAAACTACAAACCAAACCGGGTGAATATTATTATAGCTGTATATGGGTACCAATAGATTCAAACCAACAAAAATGAAAATCCAAGAATTCAAAGCCAAAGTTATAACACTAGCTAGCAGTAATAATATTAAGAACAAAAGTCACTCATACCAGATGAATCAAGCTGCAGAGCCCGGATATCCTCCTCGATATCTAGCATAAAAAAAATATAAAAAAAAATTCTAAAAATCACAAAGCAACCCACAAAACCGCCTAATAAAACAGTTTAGGGTTCGTCAATAGCTTATCAATCCCATCCCTTTACCTTGATTTTGGAAATTACAATAAAAATAATTCAAATTGGAATTAAAAAATACAAAAAAAACATAGATCGGAACACATGTTGATGTGATGATAATCTGAAAGTTCATAGAACTAATGAGATGAACAGAAGAGTCGTGTATGTGTTGATGAGAGGGGAGAGAAGAGAGAGAAAAAGCGTACCCATTGTTTGAGAGGCAGTGAGACTCAGCACCGGCACTAGGGTTTTTCCTTTGATGAAAATACAGAGAGAATAGAATGATTGTGATGAGATTCGTGAGGGTAACGTTAGCGAATAGTAGTTATAGGGTTAATTTACATACGCAGCCCTCTACTATCTTTGATATCAATTTACTCACAGCTATCAAGATACTTTATTTTATTTTTTTTAACGAAAAAAAAAAAAATGCAGTAAGGAATAATCAGTTGCAGGCTTGATTTGACTTGATTTATAGAAAGTGATCTATTATCGTGGCATTAACGGACTTCAAGTATAAGAATAGAGGTAAGTAATTATTATTTTGATTGTTTATTCAATCGTCTTTCTTCGTCTTTCTCATTCCTCTTTTAATTTTTTCTTTTCTCTACACTTGGCAATTTTAAATCCTCTTTGTTGAAGCAAAAAAACCGTCAGCGCAATCGCTTAATAATTGGTTTAATTCAATCTATAAAAATTTTTCAATCCTTACTAGTACACTCATATTTATGATAAAAAAAATTAAAAAAACATTTTCTGAAAATCAAAACAAAACAAGCTAATTAATTTTCTCTTTTTTTACACGTTTTTCAAAAAAAATCAATTTTTAACTTACTTTTCAAAACAAGTCTTTATTTAACTTGAACTCGACTCGATAATTAATTAGGCTTAAGCTTGAGTTGATTCATTAATATTAATAAACCTCAAACTTCGCATGGCACAGTAAGATTTTTTTATTATTATTTAATACATAAATAATAGGTTTATGCTATTATTTATATGTTATTGAATATATAAATAATATATTTATTATAGAATTTAAATAAAGATGAACGAGTTGGGCTTGAAAATCCGAGTGGAACCAACTTGAAAAGAGTTTCGTTCGTTTGCAACCCTAATTGTATCACTTTAGTCCTTGGTGAAATTGGATTTTTTTAATTTTTATGAATTTATAAATGTGTGATTTTATAAATGTGTCGTGATTTAATTAAGGAAAAATTAGTCTAAGGTCCCTCTCCCACTTTTAGTAATGGAAGAGATCCACAATATTATTTTTTGATGTCTAAGGTCTCTAAACATATATGAGAGAAATTTGACTCTATCTCTCCTCCTCTATTGGAGAGCAGCACTTCCAATCTCTCTCTCTCTCTCTCTCTCTCCGAAACCCTAGAGAGAAAAGATGGGCAAAGTCAACCAACTTGAGGAAGAATGGTATGGAAACTCAAAGAAGAATTCTAAGTCTGAAGGACCAATCCGGTCGGAGTGTTGAGTTAACTCTATGGGGTGATTTCTACAATAGGGAAGGTCAAAATCTGCAAGAACTGGCTGACTGTAGGCTTTTCCCGATTTTAGCTGTCAAAGCTGGGAAAGTTAACAACTTCAGTGGAAAATCTATAGGGACCATTTCTTCCACCCAGCTCTTCACAAGTCCAGATTCTCCAGAGGCCCAAAGCTTGAGAGTTTGGTTTGATCAACGGGGCAAAAATATTGCTTCTCAATCCATCTCTAGAGAGATGCCTGGAGGACCAAAGAATGAGATTCGTAAAACTGTGTCTCAGATCAAGGACGAAGGCTTGGGAATATCAGATAAGCCAGACTGGGCTACAATGAAGGCATCCATATCATTCATCAAGACAAATACGTTCTGCTACACCGCTTGCCCACTGATGATTGGAGATAGACAATGTAATAAAAAAGTGACAAGGTCAGGAAATTCAAGATGGCAATGTGACCGGTGCAATCAGGAATTCGAGGAGTGTGATTACAGATACCTTCTTCAAGCTCAAGTTCAGGATCATACGGGGTTGACATGGGTGACCTCTTTTCAGGAATCAGGTGAAGAGATTGTGGGTTGCTCAGCAAATGAGTTGTACTTCTTGAAATATGAAGAGTAGGATGATGTCAGATTTGCAGAAATCATCCACGGCAGTCTCTTCAGAGAATATCTGTTTCGGCTCAAAATCAAAGAGGAAATGTATGGTGATGAACAGAGGGTATTCTACTGAAAACAGACACCTGCTTGATTTGATCTTGACAGTTCACCCTCACTGAATAATTCAAAACTGAATTGAATGGTTAGTGATGCAATACAATTAGTTATGTGAAGAATATTGGTCCGATTATGTTTAGGAGGAACTGGCAATGAATTCGTAGTTACTGATTTTATGAATAAATGTCAACAAATATATATATATATATATATATTCATGTTCACCAAGAACAAAGAGTAATAGAAAAAGGAATTTTTTCATTCCAATGGATGTGTCTGCAGTGTGTTTGTTAGTGTAAGAATTTAGAAATCAAAAATCCAAATATGAGAGAAAGATCAGTGGCTTCCCATGAGGACACAGCTTTGTAGATATCCAGAGAAATTCCTTATCATTTTCTCTACCTTCAACAACAACAACAACCATCTAGCTTTGAATTTCTCTGGTCTAAACCAGAGAAATTCTCTCCAAACTAAAAAAATTCTCTCTGGTTTACTTAAAATTTTCTTTGATTTGTTTACCATTTTCTTTGCCTTCAACAACAACAACCATTTGAATAAATCAACCCCAACTATTAATTAAACAACAGATTTAAGAACATAAACCATGCAATGGTTTGGACCAGAGAATTTCTCTGGATTGTTCAAATTTCTCTAGGTTGTTCAAATTTCTCTGGTAGGTCTTTGGTTTGTTTAAATTTCTCTGGTTGTTCAAATTTTTTTGGTAGGCCTTTGGGTTGTTCAAATTTCTCTGGAAGCTTTGTTATTGCCTCATGCTACCTCCAGTTAATCATTTGTCATGTTGTGTATTTGTGTTGATACTATCAAAGTGCTCTTACTTTTATGGCTTTCATGGTGCTACTACAGCTACTTATTTGATGTAGAAAGAAGATGATGATGATGAAGGCTATCAAAGAATTTATCTGGAGGAAGAATTTGAATTTGAACTCAAATAAATTGGTCTAAGGTTTGTTAAAATGATTTCATAAAATGATATTGTGATCCAAAGAAAATTGGTTAAAATGAATCTAGAAAAATTTGAATTTTATCTGGTTTATAAATGAACCCAAAGAAATTTGAATTTGAATTTGAAACCAGAGAAAATTGGTCAAAATGAACCCAGAGAAATTTGAATTTTCTCTGGGTTGAACCCAGAGAATTTCTTTGGGAAGTCTAGAATTTCTCTGGAGCAAATTTCTCTGGACAGAATTTATCTAGATTGAAATTTCTCTGGATCAATGTTGAGGGACCTTAAACATTATGAAAATATTGAATGTCCTTTATGTTATACAATCTTAATATCAGGGACCCTAAAAAAAAAGTCTCTTTAATTAATCAATGATTTTTAAGTTTGGAGAGAATAGGGACATTGATTATTTTTATAAAAAGTAATTGTTTTGAGTGTGAAAATATGTCGAGTATTAAAAAAATATGATATATACACACAGCAATTAATACGAATTTAGCAAAAATCCCTAAAAATTAATTTTATTGTTGGATAATAACACTTTAATAAATGTTAATGGTAATGTTGGCACCATAAATCCATAACTCAAGTTATGAAATGTGAAAAGATGATGGAGAATAAAGTAAAAAATATGGAGCATGAAGCGGAGATTGAAGGAAGTTATGGAAGGTCATGTAGAATGAAATGGAGGTGGTGGAATAGTGGGTAATTTTAAGTAGTTTTTTCCTACAAATGTTTGCCTATAAATAGCCATTCATGGCTACATTGTAAGAGATCCATAATTCAAATCAAAGACAATTGATTTCAATATTTCTTGTCGTTTTCCTTATCTTAGGAGTAGTTTAATATAGATTTATATTTCGAAACATTTATTTTTAGCATTTCATTTTCAAAGCATTTTATGCACTTCATTTTCGAAGCATAGGCGTAGAGGTAAATAATTATTACTTTGATTGTTCACTCAATCGTCTTTCTCCGTCTCCCTCATTCCTCTTTTAATTTTTCTTCTCTCTACACTTGGCAATTTTGAAGCCCTTTTTGTTGAGGCAAAAGAACCGTCAACGCAATCACTTGAATTCTTTTGTGCAACACTAAGTTATAAAATAGTTTAAGTTGGCCATTACAATTTCTTTGGAATTGAAATGTATAATTTTATCCCATTATTACAATGATATTAGTACAAACAAGTAAAACATTACTATGTAGTACAATAACATTTTACTATAACATAGTACAATATTATTCTATTACACATTAATATTTTACTCTGTAGTGTAGTAACATTTTACTGTCTAGTAAATTATGGGTCGCTGTAACTGTTACAACCAAATATATCCAACCAACTACACCAAAACTCACAAAATCACTGCAATGAAGTGTATAAGCATTTATCATAAGCATAATCACATTTACTAATAACACAGACACATATTACCAAAATAACAAGTAATCATATTCCATTATATATATATAGGGAATTTTTTTCATAAATCCTATTTCTAACAGTTTTATGCCATAAAATTCAAATCATTTTTTATTATTCCATTAGGTTCATTCAGTGTAGAAAAACCAAAGTACCCTCCCTCCACTTCTCCTGTGTATACTCCATTCTGAAAACAAACCATTCCTATTCCATCTCTTCACTCCACAAAACACTGATTTCCCAAAAAAAATCTCATCGTTGGCCCCAAAAAACTCCTAAACCATAACCCTAGATTCACATCGCCTCACTACCGTTGTCCTCCACCATCCACTGCTATTCCACTTCATCTTACCGCTGCAAAGGTTTACATCAAAAGGAAGGTAGTTCGTTATTCCATGTTTCCAGTCGGTCGACTGAGGGTGGTCCACTGACTTCCATACCCATCCACAATGTGGAGCAAAAGTAAGCACCATCATTCCACCCTTTGTTAATATAATGTAATTCCCCATGTATATATTTACATTGTCATATTATTATTGTTGTTTTTGGATTTGATTGTAATGAAATCCCTATTTTCACTCTTTGTCCATCTTGGTTGTACGAGCACGAGATAATGTTCTCGTATAATCCTGTTGATCAAGTCTGCGCTCCTCCAAACGTCGTCACTTTACTCCCTGAAAACACAAACGTGAGCTAGCCGGCGGGTGTGTGCCGGATACCTCTCTGATGCCTAAGTTAGCCAAATAGACAAATGGGTAAAAGCTCTGTGTATTCGAGAATCAAAGTTATGATACCTGTACATAGATTCTGTTATGAGCTTTTATAGGTTTCGCGTGGCACAATCCTAGTAGGACTCTTATTCCTCAATATAGAGTCCTCCTAGGAATCATACTCCTGAAAGATAATGCTTATCCTTCAACACCCTCCTCACTGCTTTAACCAAGTGGAATGGTTTTACCTCGGTAGTATGACAAAGAAGCCAGGCTAACATATACTGATGTGGCAAGTTTCACTGAACTCTCCTTAGCTCAGTTCTACCTTGCTTTACCTAGCTCGGTATCAACTTGTTTGCATAACGTAACTCCTCGTACCCCAGTTCAGAATACTCGAATCGAGCTAACTTCAGTCATCTATGACCGGGCTAATAGAGCCCAGTGGCAAAGTCCATTCTACTTAGCCCATAGCTCGGCTCGCTTCTTTCCAGTTCTAGCTTGGCCCAGACTTACGCTTTTTACCCTCTCAATTGCCCCTTAATTCCATCTGCGTAGCATGTTTGGGATTACTTGTTACCAGCCGAGCTAAAGGTTCAGACCTTCAACCGAGCTAAATTGTTACCGGGCTATCGCCCTGTCTGGTCAAAAAACGTCTTTTCAATCACGTTGTTCATCTTAATCGCTTTCTATTCTTATAGACACGTGGCTGGCCCCTATTGGTTGAATACAGCTGTCAACGTCGTCTTCGTACCTCGCGAATTTTGAACAGTTCCGCCTAAAACTAGGTTTTATACAAAAATCCTATTTTTTCAAATCAAAACATTTCACTATTCATCTTCTTTCTCTTGCCTTCTGAGCCTCCATTTCTCAATCACAACACTTGTAATAACTTGTGCTCCTGTCTGGCATCTTCACCGTTTGAAACTTCATCTTTTTCTTTTAAGACTGTAAGTGACTCAATCCCTAACTTTTTTCCGTCTATTCCGTGAATATGTATAATATAGATGTATATACACATATATTTTCCAAAACACACTCTGTAGTTTTGCTCAAACGGGTAGGAACCACGAAAACTCAAAAACCAGAGCCCCAAACCATAACCACCTTGGTTGAATCTTCGATGAATTTGGAATGCGATCCTTCCGATCGAGAATAGCACCATGACCGAACTAGGAGCCACTTTGTGATAGGCGCACACTCGACCGAACTAGCACACCTTACCCAACAACCGAGCTAAGATCCCGAATGCTTAATAACCGGGCAAAAAGCTGACGTAATAACCGAGCTAAACGTTATAAACCTTTTTAGCTGTTCTTAGAGTTTTTTTTATTTTTCCTTCTTTTTAAGCCCGGTTTAGTTATCTGGGCATAACACTTTTTATCTTCACTTTGCAGACTCTGACTAGGTTGGCTAGGCACATCTTTGCACGCTCGACCGAGATACTCTACGTTATCTCAATACCGAGCTAGGACTCCGGGCTAAGTTATTCATAATTTTAAGTCATAAATGGGTAAATATCGATTTCTAGTAAACTCACCACGGGCTATTGCTGAATTCCGCAAGGACTACAACATCCCTGATGACGTCCACCTTTCACTAGCTGAGCTAGATATAATTCCATGGGGAACATCGGGCTTTGTTCCCTTCACCGTTATTTTTATCGTAGAGGCCGGACTCTGATTCCTTGTTCAGCCACTATTATGCAAATTCCTTAAGCAGACTAGAATATGCCCAACCCAACTTAGCACCAATTCTTACAGAATAATAAATGACATCGCCGAGCTAAATCGCCGACTTGGCCTTAA